ATACTGGGGTTCTGGTAACTTACAAATGTCTTAATTTTGCTCAGAGGCCAATAACCAGTGAAGTTTATGGCAGAAGTCTCTAGATAGGTACCCTCTCTAACGGAAAAAGATATAGCTTCTATTTTCTCCTTTCTGGTATTTCCTGAGCATCTGAAGATTTTCTACTTTCATTATAGCTGAAGGATGAAAATCCATCTCCTTCAGTATTTTTAACTTAACAACTTTGCCGGGATAGCATGCTATGAAAATAAGAGACAGAAAGTATCTTATTTCTTCTCTGTCTTATCTTTATTGTTTTGTTCAGTATTTATTATTCTACAAATAATCTATGTAGTGACTTGAAAGATAATTCAAGGCTAGCTGAAGAGGTCAAGTTATTAGAGGCATATTGCATTGTGAAACTGAGACGAATGGGTGTCTGAAAGTGAACACCCAGAAATGTCATGTTCCCAAGACTTTAGCAACTCTTGAAAATCCAGTGAGTAGCTTGAATCACTCCAGGAAGGAATAAATCTGGGTTGCCAAAGTTACAGCAGTAATAAGCTGAACTTTCAAGAAATCCTGGACTGTCTATACAGGAATGAAAGAGAGTGGAATTCAAACAGGGCACTAAGGTATTCCATAAGAACAGTTCAGAAACAAACAGCCGGTTTCAAGAATGAAGAAATTCAGAACAAAGCTGACCCAGAAGCAAAACTGAGAGCAGCATCTGGATGACAGCCCCAAATGGTCTTGCTGCACTTCCTCATCCAAAAAAAAAAAAATAAACCCTCCGAAGTTTTATTCCTGAGAGATTTCTACATGTCCAAGCTTACAGATCTGTTGAATGAAGGCAAGACTATAAATTCAACCTCACTAAATTCAGTGGCAAAACACAGCTGGTCTTACAGCACACAGACTTTCACCTTGCATTTCAGACTCACTCTCTGAGGTGCCGTTTGTCACAATAAGCTCGATGATCTCATGCATGACACAAAACAACAAAAGCACTGAGATGGAAACCTATTAAACAAACAGCACAGGAAAGTAATGAAAACGCAACTGAGCATGTTTTCAGAGGCCGATAGATTATCAGCACTAAAATTCCTGTCTGAGTCTACTCCTATGTCCTCAAGAAATGTTCAGATGTGAAGACTTCCAAGAGAATTTCCTTTCGTTCCCATCTTTTTTTCTAGAGCATGAAAGAGATGGCTGTGCATCTTTTAACTAGCTGGTCAAGGCAAAAGCCTGAGGTCTTCTGCAGAACGCTAGAGAAAGAAAAGCCTTTATTCGAAGCTGTGTCTTCTTGATGGCTACAAGCTGGTTTTTTTTTACTTTGAAGATGAGAAACACAACTACCTTCATATCAGTATGTTCAATGGGTGACCTAAAGTAAAATGACACACAAGGTATTCATTCCTATCAAAAAGCTGACACAAAAATAATGAGTGTTTTACAGTACAATATTTTCTCAGAATGTTTCCCCATTTGTAACTTCAGTCTAAGTTGCAGTCAAAAAATATCAACACATTATTTCACTTCATAATGGTAGTGGACAACATCAAGAACTATGTGACACCTTTAATGTATTTGCCACAGTGGAATTTATTTTGGAAACTTAAAAACATGAATTATTGCATTTAAGATATAATATAGATCGATCGTGCTATTGCTAATATGCCATGTTTTTATACCATAAGGGGCCTTCAGGAGAAAAAAGATAATTGCTTATGATGTTGGTTAAAACTCTTCACGTCTAGCAAAACCACTCACTGACTCTTTATCTTCTTCTTTTAAAAGCATCTCCATACAGTCAGTGCTAGGGCATTCAAAAGACTAAAACAGAATAAAAAACCAAGGGAGGCACACTATCAAATAATGCCCTTTACATGCCACCCTTAACTCCATTTTTGCCTATTATTGCACAGAGATCTCATCAGTGACGCATTACCATAATATTTAGCCTTCAAAAAACGGTAACGCTGTCCTGGTTTTTGTGCAGTTTTCTTATCCACACTATCAAGAATGCAAAGAATGCAAATGTCTCTCTGAGCAAATGTTCGCGAGACACAGAAGGACTATCTTCATTAAGGTCCCCTCTGCAATGCTCAGTCCTAATTCCAAACAAGCAGTAGCCCTTTCCCACCTGCTTGGTCATATCCACATTTTTTGCCAAAATGAGAGAAAATGTGTACACAATTAAAATTGAGCTTTTAAACAATTTCCTTCTTTGAAACTGCCCGACTATGTAAACTGCACAGTTGTGCATGAGATATTTAGGAACTCAAATTTGTTTGCATTTACTCTGCATCTGTATGTCTCCAGGATTTGCTTGGCTTATCTTTGCAACATCTTTCCGAGAAGCATCATCAGTATCCCCAACCACCCTCCAAAAGCCATTCCCCTGAGAATTCCTGGAATTGAGTTGTTCTTCATTGTTGGCCTCCATCAGTAAACATTCATTTATATGCTGTCCAAACATTTCAAGTATTTTCTCCATATTTTGAATGAGCCAGTGAGTCTTTTTTATTTCAAAATGTTCTGTCAGAAGTCGTCTGACTTTGTCAAACATTGGTGAAAGAGTTAACCAGGCTTGGGGATTTTTTAATGAATTAAAAATGCTTATCAGCATTATCTCGAGTTCAGAGATGGTCATGATGCAGACTTTGTAACACTGTGTCTCTAGGAAGTATGCATCCTAGAGCTTGTATCCATCCTGCAGATCTATGAGCAGAAATTCGTAGTTAAAATGTACTGACTACCAATAAGCTTAGGTTTTATTGAATGTTTAATGTTTCAGGCTACCAGAAAATCAAATAGTAACATGTCTGTTAGAACTGATATTAATAAAGAACACAAAGAATACAAGGCATAGTTGGTAGGCATTGGGTGTGTGTTGTGAAGAAACAGAAAAATAATTTAAAATATATGATTTAAAAAATTAAAACTTTCTGTTTGGAGAACAGAAAGGAATATTTTTTATGAAGATATGGGCATCTGGTTAAGTCTGTCGTAGAGACACACTTAATGCCAGAAAAAGACAGATGAGATAAACATATCACAGAACGGTTTGGGTTGGAAGGGACCTTAAAGACCATCCAGTTCCAACCCCCCTGCCATGGGCAGGGACACCTTCCACTAGACCAGGTTGTTCCAAGCCTCATCCAGCCTGGCCTTGAACACTTCCCGAGATGGGGCATCCACAAGTTCCATTGCCTTTATTTAACTGTAATTAAAATTCAGGGAAACATTTTAATCATTCCTCCAAATTTCTACCAACATCTTTTTTTTTTGCCAGACAAATGCATTTCTCTATTGCACATCAAGCTGCAGGACATGTTTTTGATACTTTCCTTTTTTAGAATAAAACATAACGAATCAATGGCTTTGATTCTTCTTTAAATGTTCTTCAGTTCAGCCCAGAATTATTCTCTTAGAGCCTAAAGGGCACATGACTGTAATCAGGATTGCTCTTTGAAATGCCGTTTGTTTGGATTTCATTTCAGTGATAACCCATCAGGTAGTCTGTGGAGTTGTTGCATAATTTCCATTTGTGGACACCAAGATTTTTCATAGAGCTTCCAGTGCAGAGTAGAAGTCAGTGACCAGGAACCGGCCCTGCACATCTGGCTTCACTTCTGTGACAGGTATCTTGCATGATCTTAAGAAACTGTATTCCAGCTTTCCTAATGAAGTCAAAAGGCTTTGCTCCAGGCCCTATGGGAAAAGTCATTTCTAATTCTAAGACAGACCTTCATTAAGATATCATGGATAGGAAGGATCGGCACCAGTCCACTCTCCTCCTCAGTTAGCAAGTAATTCTTCCACTCCACTGCAGTTTTGTTGTCCTTTTCTAAATCATCCATCTCTAGGTCACCGCCTCTAGGTGAGCTGCATCACAGCCAACACCGTGGTCAAAGCTTGTGCAGATGCAGAGTAGCCAGCTCATGTGCGGTCTCAGCAGCATGGAGCTCAGCAAACACCAGACACCCGTTTCTCAAGGAAGCTATTTACTAATATTGGGCTCAGTGCTGCCATGGCTACAGTGCCCACAGCCCATGAGGAGTTGAAATATGTACGGCTTTAGGTACTACTCACTACAGTTCATGTAGTTCCTCAGGTGGAAAGTCTGTCTCTGCAACAGCCATCCACCAGACAACCCAACAAGGCAGCAACTAAAGCTCAGAGCCTCTCTTCCATTTTCTTCACCAAATGTCTTGCAGACTGAATTTGTTATAAGTCTCATTCACACCTCAGGCAGAGGAAGCCTCTCCTGCTTTCATCCACCCCCCTCCAGACACCACAGCCCAAATACCAAATTCCCATTCTAGCTGATTTTTGGTAGCTGGCATTTCCAAACGATTGAGTGAATAACACTAGTCGAATACACACACATCAACCTCACCATGCCTTTCAAAAAATGAAGACACATTTAAATTTTCAGTAGTTTTATTGAAAAATGCCTCTTTCATTTCAGAAATAAATAATATAAGGCAGTGAAATTCACAATTTGCAGTTAAAATATAAAAGCAGCAATTCTATATCCATAGTCTTGCAAACAATTTCCAACTGCTTTTGATAACTAAGAAACATTGTATTCTGGGGGGAAAAAAAAAAATCCATACTAAATATACAACAAACATGCAATTCCATCTCTGCAGGATTGACTGCAACTTGGCATAAATGTTACTGTGTCTACAAACAAGGAGATTTCAGACGTTATTAAACTGTATCCAGTTGATACAATGGCTTCAGCTACGTAATGTTTGTGGTGTTTACAGGAGATGTACAAGAGCAGTATATGCCCTGCAAAGTGTAACTAAGAATAGAAGAAAACGACTCGGAAGGAGAGGGAAATTTCTGTTTCTTTTTTAACTAGATAATGCAGACCTGTGATCTGACTGAACTGCAAACATGCATTTGAAAAAGAGGAAAAATGAAGAGCTAAAGCAGAGAGTCCTTAGAAAATTTGCAGCAGCTATGTGGTTATTTTTGGTTTGGTTTGCCTTTTTTTGTTATTATTATTTCTTTGTTTTTACATTATTGTAATGAAAAGGCAGTACTGGGATAACTGAATGGACATATTAACCTGTATGCAGCCACTATAAGCAAAAATATTTTACAAGCATTTCCAGGGCAATATGAAGTCTCTAGGTACACACACTGCTATCCCCGCATGAGCAAGATACAAAACAGGGGTGTGTCTGTTATGAAAAGACCAGAAAGCTCTATTGCAAAAGAAATTATGTCCCCTCCCTGCGTGTATCTGCAAATGCAAGCATAGCAAAACCAAAACCCACCGACCAAAGAAACCAAAACAAGGCGCAGATCTTTTACGGGTTTGTTTTTGCTTTTCTTGACAGGGATCTTTTCCAGCGCATGTGCTCAGGGTACTCGGGCGAATGCATTTCAACGCCATAGTCCTCATACTCGTCCTCTCTCCTTTCTGACTCCATAGGTACTATAAAGGGTTCACCTTCAGGCTGATAGGGTCCACTTTCAGGCACGTATGGTTCTGGTTGAAAATAGTTGTCCGATTGAACATAAGAGTTATCGCATGTCTTTGAATCCACATATACAATGAACGTTAATTTGTCTACATAATGTTAGTCCAATCTTATTTCCATCTAATAAATATATAAATTAATAGTTCGCTGGTGGTACTTCTCAGTTTTGTTCATGAGCAAAATGAATGGCAGTAAAATAATTAGAAGTTTAAAATTCATTTTGAAAGGCTTTGTATTTATATTACAACAAACATTGCAGAAAGAGTCTTAAATTATGCAAGGGACCAATTACTGTAAAATTGGAAAAGAAAAAAAAACAACCAACCCACAAAGCAAATCAAATTAAAATATTATTTTACAGCTACTTCAGTAAATCCAAGGACTGGACTTTATTTTAAAACTGCATAATTAGTAGAAGACATGGAGCAGCTAAAATGAACAGGCGGGTTTGGCATATTCTGATTTTCTCTGAGAACGGGAAAGTAAGTGTAAGACATAACTATCACGAGCGGCAATATACAGTACACGTCATTTTCTCGTGCTGTTCCTCGTAACAAACCGAGTTACAGCTGGTGCTTCAGGAACACCAAAAACTACAGCAAAACAGAAGAAAAATAATTATAAAACTTTGGTATTTATAACTGCAGTTACAGAATCCAACAAGATTACATATGAAAAAGGCCCATGCCCCGATTCAGACATGTTGGTAACAAGCAACAGACAGGTAGGTTTCATAAGTTGTCAAGGATGTTATTCCGGCATATAGCAAGCAGCAGCAGGCTTTTATGCAAAAGCATCACGTAGAGTTGTTAACAGATTTTAGTGGATACGGTCCCATACAAATCATTTACAAGCCACAATTAGTTTACTATTTACATAAGTAATTTCTCATTTACCAGGTTAACTCTGTCTCTTCTAATGGCATTACCTTTGCTGGTTAGTAGTTTTATAAGCCTCCTTCACCGCTGAGGCTTTTGATGGTCTGGGTCTTTTTTTAAAAAAGAAAGACTGTCTATTTTATTACTGAAATGTAACAGGCTTAATGAATTGACATGACTGTCCTTTATCTCATTCGCGAGTTGTGTTAGTAAAAGGAATCTCATCTCCCCATTCTATGAGGCCAACATGGTTCAAAAACCATATCCATGGTGAAATATCCATACGGACTCATTTTCTAATAAGCACGTGCGCAAACATCTCAGAAACAGGATTTTCATGTATTCAAACTGTAAGCAGCACTGGCGACTTAGAAAATGTGTTAGCCGAAACCTGAAACAGGTCAAAGATGATGTTAGTCTTTTAAAAAGTCCATCTGATGTGCAAAAACATACTGTCATCCAACTAAATACATAACAGTTAAGTCATAGGCATATATTTATATATGTATACATAGCTTCTTACTACAAAGAACACTGCTGAATCACAGGTACAATTTTCTTTTTCATTTAAATAAGGATTTTGTGTGAAATTTGAACAATCACTTGGCTCTTTAACCAGCAGCACTGAGTCTGCAAGTGTGTACATATATATATATATAATCTTTTTTTGTCTTTCTATGGGTACATGCACAATACATTAACAGCAAACCATATCCAATAGTAGTATCACACACACTAATTTTGAGATGTTGCAATGCATACATATTAATTTGTTAACAATACTGTGGTCCTGCAGGATCCCTATGTTAAAATATATTAGAATCTTTTCAGTCAGAAATTGGTGGCCGCTGAGACCTTTTATTTTGCTTCCAGAAGCAGCCCACTGTTCGGAGCTACATCACAGAGTGGAAGGCCGATACGACCCAGGGGTAATCAGAGACTCCATGGTGTTTAACTCGGTAGATAGAATATGTAGGACAGTGGAGTTTTTCGGTTGTCTGCACTGTATCACCGAATGGATTTCCTTGGTGGAATTTTTTTTTTTTATGTCAAGTATCAATTTTGTATAAATAATCCTGACATTGCTCAAAAAGAGACACACGGAAATTGCCAACCACAGCACTCTCTTTATTTTTCAAGAGAAACATGGAGAATTCAACCTTGTTCTGAAGACGATTGGAAGGGGTGGGGATGGAGGGGGGAAAAAAGAAGAAGAGAAAATGGTCACTTAAATCCTATGAGCAACATTATCAACTACTAACCATCTATGTTTAAGAAAAAAAAAAAAGACTAAAATACTTAATTACCACTTCCTATTTAAAGCAAATCACACATAACATCAAGGAAACCTGCATCCAAGCCCAAATGACTGCTCATATACCTGCACATTACAATGAGGCAGGCCTGCTCATTACAGCCATTTCCTCCTGATTCAGTATGTCCAGGCTAGCAGGACTGTCTCATGTAAAGCAGCTCAATATGAACAGCCACCTCTGTGAAGGCTACTGGAGGCAAGTTAAGTTGTTCACAACCTACCTGGGAATCCTTGGCCGTTGTAAGGGATGCTAGCACACTGGGAGGAATCACAGTATCCTGGTGGCCCTGGCGGACCTCGAATACCCACGTTTCCAGGACGACCTGGTGGCCCTGGTGGTCCCCGTGATCCTGTGGAGCCTGGTGGACCAGTTCTAGATTCTCCTTGTGGACCTAATTTTGAAATTGAAAGGTTGGGGAGTTGTTTTCTTAAGGAGCCAGCTTGATAAAACAGCTAACATTACTGCTGTCTAGACTACACAGCCTAGGCTATGTCTTTGGTGAGAAAACACTTGTGCTCTGTTGCTATATGGGGGTCAACAGAAAGAAAAACAAAAGAAAACTAGAAATATGACTCATCATTAGTTGCTTCCCTGTGTGTGGCTTCCTTAAGGATTTATTCACAGAAACTGATTTAGTAAGGTTTGAGCCAAGTAAGAAACATCAATGAATTCTCTGATTTATTTCTCCTCTGTGTAAGATATGAAGATCTCAAGGGAAACTTCTAGATTAGACAAACACATTGGATTTCAATTAAAATATAGGAGTACATTAATTCTGCTACCCTCTAGCCCCAGGATAGATGAGGTAATGTTTTTTTTGGAACCAGTCTTATTATGGTTAGCAGAAAAGTAAAGCTTCAAGTAACTGGAGCTACAATTTGCTGCGAGCATCTTACGGGTCCTGTCACGAAAAACTATGTTTAGCCTAGTAAACTATAAGCAGAAGCAAATGATGCAGCTGATTTCTGCCAAGGCATCGGTGGACAAAACTGCATGATACAGAGAGCAAAACTAATGGTCAGATCATCTGACTATCATCTGGTAATTCTGCATGTGGGAGTATTTTGTAGCTGGGGGACAACTTGTAGTTCTGTACTCACAAGTAAGAAATGGAACCAGATACCACAAAAGTATCATGTGATAACACTTAAAAAAGATCTGTGAAATATTTGGACAATGTATTTTAATGAAATACATTTTCACACAAGCAAACCTGCCAGATGAGTAAATTACAAGATCAAAATTAATACCTATTAGCAACAACCAAAAACCTTTCTAAATTGCACTTTTTTTGCAGAGATTTCTAGTAAACTCTAATATATGTCAAAAACATGGAGTGAAAAGAGTAAAGCATGTTCAATCACCATGTGTAGTTTGGTTCCCAAGGAAGAAATATATTTTTCTCCTACTTTTCTATAATCTGATAAAACAAGAAATATTTACCAGGCGGTCCCGGCAAACCTCGTGGTCCTTGAGATCCAGTCCCTCTTTCACCTTTCTCTCCAGGCATTCCTACAGAATAATTTTTTTTTTTTTAAAAAGCAATAAAAAACAAAGGAAGGAAACCACATCAACAAATATTTCTTCAAGCTCACTCATTTGTATTAATATTTAATTCCCATTACTTAATGTAACAAGGCTGCTCAAACCTTGTTTTGTACAGATGTCCAAATGTGCATTTGGGAAAATAATTTGGATATAAATATACCAGCCTAAAAATTAAGTAGGATGCAAAAGTAATTTAGTGTAAATAAACTTTCACAAACATAGAAGAGTCTTTGAGATATTTAAAACACCACAGAAGCTTATGATTTCAAACTACAAACAGGAAGTCATTTTCAAGATTGCATACTTCTGCTATGAAGAGTGCTTTACACTTTCTTAGAAACAGCTATGATGGAATAAGTTAAACAAAGAGCAGAATTTAGAAATTTGTTCTTCCTTGATTTTTTCCTAGTCATTTTTAAAGATTAGATTAAAATATGTGCTAGAAAACACAGCACTGAGTCTACACTACAGTAGAGTAGCTAAAATAAACAAAGACCACAACATAGTAGAGACACTCCGTCATTGCAGTGATCCAAGGTAGCCATAAAACAGGTTTACTCATGTGCTCAAACTCAGTTCAGAGTCGCTTCCCTCTTTCAGATCACTGCAAAGAGCCAAGGATGTAGACCTAATTCTTTCAACTCCTACTTTTTATTCTTGGTAATGACTCATTTTCTCTCTTAATCAGAGTTGTGTTACTCCAAACAGCCTTTCAAGATGTAGCTGTGTAGTGTCAGAGGAGTTCTGAGAACATTCGCTTTCCTGGGATATCCTGTGGAAGCCTAAGAGAGCAGCCAAAATGTTATACCAGTTCGTGTTTCATGAAACATGAGCAAGGGAGAGAGAGGAAAGTAGTGATGTAATTAACCCTGTCCTCCAGAACATCAGTGTCCCTCAGGCAATCCAACTGACCTAACAGGGTACTGCGAGGTGTGGGCTTCCTAGTCTGACATGGTAAAGGGATCAGACTGCTCCTCTGGCGGCCTCTGCACTATGTCCACTGTAAAATATACAGCTGCCTTGGAATTTACTCACCTCTTTCACCAGGTGGTCCTTGGACCCCAGGAGGTCCTGGGAATCCTGGTCTTCCTCCAGGTCCAGGCTCTCCTCTTGTCCCAGCAGCTCCTGGGGGACCAGGTGGTCCCGGTGGCCCTGGCTGGTTACGGTTTGAATAATAATCATTCGGGATTTGATTCAGCATTTGATTGAATCTGCTCATTTGACCTTCAAGGGGAAAGAAAGATGGTTCAATAAGCCCAGTGAAATACATGAAAGACTTATCAGAGTGGGAAGGAATAACAAATTATCTCTCTTCATCAAATCCTGTTCTTGTTCCTATTCAATGGCTTAGTGATGAACTAGTACTGAAGAATTAGGAAGACTTAAGATGAATGTCTGATAAGAATGCAGAACATAAATGGAGGAGGGAGGGAAGAGAGGTAAAGGGGACTTTGGAAGTCAATAACATCAACAAAAAATAATTTTAAAGCAATTGAAGTCACAAAATTAGCACTTGTTTACAATAGTATTGCTCTCAGAGTTCTAATTAAAGTTTGCTTCTACTCTGAAGAACAGAAGGGACTTGTTACACTTCTGAAGGTGGAGTGTTACATTTCTGTGTACTTTCAGAGCTCAGAAGCTATCCCAAACATGGTATAAGTTGTTCATGCATAGAGCTAGTAGCACACAGTCTATGAAGTCACTTTCTTAAGCTTGTAAGATGCATGGGCTTGTACCGATATATCTTCCGCAGGTAGGCAAATTTCATTTCCAAAGAAAGGTGTCTGAACAAAAGCACCAGCATTGTGAATCTACGCAGGAAGGAGCCCTTAACTTGGGGGGTGGGGCGGGGGAACATCTAGCCCTACACAATTAGTGCCCTAGCATAACCCTGAAGAGATTAGCTGAATATGAAGAAAAAAATAAGGCAGGGATGCTAAAGGATCTCAGATAACACATCCTTATTCATAAGTCTAATACATTCATGAACGTACTTTTCTTCCTCTGCCATGGCTAACTGATAGACATGTTATAAATAGCAGCCATGACAGTCATTTTAAAGGACGCACAAGCACTCTTAATGATCCAAAAGGCAGATCTGTTTACCACAGTCAGCACTTACCCTTGTTATAGAAACACTATTAAGAACAATTTATGGTTACATTTGTCTCTGTCCTCCTCAGCAGGTCTACTCATAGCAAAAGAACTCTCTCAGGGGCAGACAGAAAGCCTCTGTGGAGGACACTTTCATGGGTTGCAGAGCTGCACTGTGGCAATATATGACTGAAATTCAATTTGGAGTCCTTCTCCAAATAAATACAATTTTTATTTGCATAGCATAGCTGATACTGTGCACAATATTTACCCAACACTCATCTTTTTCTGCTAGCAAAGTACCTGCAGCGAGCATCCTTTTTCTCACCAATTCCCTCTGCCTGAAGATAAGACGTGTTCAATGAGAAAATGCATACCGATCTTATGACAAAGATAAAAGTAATTTTGGACCAGACTGACAAAAGGGAAGTCACCTTCCTTGTACAGAATATTAGACTTGCATGTGTATTTCCAAAGGTCGCAGATTACTTCATGATCAAGCTAGCCATTTGGATCTCACAAAAATTCAGTGCTACATTTTTTTTCCACTAAATCATTGGCATTTGCCAGCTATAATATCACTCAAGCTCTTGCTATGCTCTGTAGGCAATATCCCTCACCTTAAACTTAAACCATTGTTTTCTCTTTTAACAAAGTAAATTACTAGGATGAGAAACAAAGCAGGCAACACTGTTTACCATTTATCAGTTGTTCACAAACTTGTCTTGCAACTGCTCGCATCATGTTCTGAGAAGCAATGTCACCCTAAATAATCAAAACCAAAGTAAGTGTTTTATTAGCAAGTGTCTGTGCTTTTAAAGACAGAGTGTTTAATTTAAAAATCTGAGAAAAACTGACTTTAAAGCAGACTTACCCTGTCACCTTTTTCTCCCTTCATTCCAGGTGTACCCTGAAATAAATAAGTAAAAATAAAGTAACTGAAGGATTATATTATTCCACCCCAACTATAGGTTTGAGAAATGAAATTTTAGAAAACATTTTGACTCCTTCAAGAAGACAGACCTGGTTCTCCTTGAACTTTACATTTCAGAGATGCTAAGGCAGGTGCCAGAAAAGGCTGGGCAACCAATGATGTTTTGTGTATAATCAAACACACTGACAGATTCAGAATAAAAAGATCTGAAGGAAAAATTCAAACTAAAGCCAATGGAACTGCCATATTCTGACACTGGGAGACATACTGGCAATTTGAAAGTTGGATTTCTAGCATCCCATTTCTGGAAATGTTGAAGAGTCTTGTGCGAATAACATACAACTGTTTAATTTTAAGTCTTAATACAACTCATCATTACAAAACATAAACTAGGAAAGGAAGCTGTCTCCTTGAGCCCGCAAGAAACAGACCTCATATTAAGCAGAAAAGTGTTATGCGAAGATGACACATGAGATGGAGAGAGATGGCATTAAGTGCTTACTCTATTTATAACAGCTTCCCTGTGCATTCTCAACCATTTCTAGTCTTACAATAGCCTCATAAAAGTCTTAGCTTGAGCTGCTTCATAATTATTGGCATTTGCCAACAGCCAACTTTTGTCTAACTGCAATTTCCATTTGCCTTTGTTGTTGTGGGTTTTTCAGTTTTCAAGAATACTATGTAAGAAGCCAACCAGAAGGACTGATTCCAATTTTCATATATGTATGTGTCTATGGCTGGAAAAACATCACGTATACTCTTAAGATGTTTTTTAATGCTGAATCGGAGATATGCATGCACAATCTATGCAAATAAAATTTTGTGTATGCACCTGTCCCACAACATTTTGAGATTTTAGCCTTATGTTTACATTCCACTGCTAGCAAAGAAAAGCATCAATAGAGCAAACCATACTTTCCAAAGAAAATGTAATTACAATTCTTGGTATGATGGATTTTTAAAGATTTTTCAAAATAGAAAACAATGATCTCAGAAGAGTATTTATAACTTGCTTCGGTCTATTCGACATGATTTTTTCCACAGTAAAAATTGCAGATTCCCATTTAAAATAAGTAGAAAATTAGATTCACAGTTACTTGGTTTAGCCACTAAGTTGCCCTTTGAAAAATCTAAAAATCTGCGAAGTGGTTTAAAACTATTAATTTTAATATCAAAACAGAAAAGAAAAAAAAGAAAAGAAAACTGTATTTACTGCAAGACCTGCTTAGGAAGCCATCACAAATAGCCCTTCCAATGTTCTTGAATACTCACTGTGACAAATACCACGTGTGCCAAATTCCAGGGCAGTAGAGACAAAACTTTGGTTGAAAATATGGCTCCTGAAGTGGCCAGTGTGAGTTTGACAGAGGATAAGTTATATCCTCAGTTACGCAGTGGATGCAGAGTTAGGCCATAGCTGAGTCTTTCTAAAATCTATTGTAAATTCACCTGCCAGAATGTGTCCAAAAAGCACAGAAGCTTCACTAGTTAAGCAAAAGGGGCCAGTGTGAGTTCAAACAGATTTTCATTTGTAGCCTGAATTACTATTTGAACATTAGGCATATTTCAAAGGTGAAAGACCAGTCTGGAGAACCTGCTTGGCCCTCCACTTAGTTACACATGCATCCTAAGTATTACTGCTTTTTACATTGTCGTATTCCTTTAAGGAGCGTGTTTATCCCCATTAACAAAGCAAAGGCTAAGTGTGGGCCGCAGCTGTTTTTCATAACATTCCTACAGTACCCACAATTAATTTCAACAACATGAGACAACAAATCATTCCACTGAGGTCACAGCAAATAGAATTTGAATGTGGTGGCACGGTTTCATAGGCTTCAATCAAGGTTTTTGGGCAAACAAATTTCCATGGGGTATGTATTTCCATGGGGTGTGTCAGGGTGTGAATTTAGCATGCTACCTGATCTTCTCTGCTGCAGTGTTGTCACCTACTCCATGTCATGCCACAGAAAACATGAGGCAGCTCATCCATCACTGAGTGAAACAGTTGGCATACAGTACATTTGCACCATGCATAACATTGTTCATGCAAAATTAATTATACAGTCTCAAATAAAATATTTAGAGTGGCAAGACCATAAATGTGCCACTGGAATAAATTATGCCACCTGTGAGGCAATTACTAATATGTACACAATATACCCATCAAACTGATGAATATTCTTCCCCTTCTGTCCTTCATTCTTTCGTCTATGTCTTTTCTTACTCTCTGAAGTGCACAGGGAAAAGGTCTGTCTTTCGGGTTTAGCTTAGCACAGCTACATGCTGAAACAGACCATGGGCTTCTAAATGCAATAACAACATAGATAAACTGTAACAATTAAGAAAAATATGACATTCCTATCTGTCATTCTCTAATAATGAACATTATGGTAAATGCTGATTTGTTGAAGCTCTAAAAGAGATGTAATTGGACTCTGAATTCAACAGACATTAACATCTCGTTCATAAACTATCACATTTATCTGAAACATCCATTGAATAGAATTGCAGGTTTTTCACTTGCACTAGTCTATAACTTGACAATACGGGGAGGGAAAATATTAACAAATTTGTTGGTGCTTTTGTTTCTGTTTGAAATTTGGCTGTGTTTGCTATTTTCTGAAAGCATATTAATTTAAAATTATCTGTTGAGTAAACATTTATAATACCTGCATATTGTATTCTCGTTCTTTCTAAAACTTTCATAGTACAACCTTGTGTTCTTTTGACCAGAAGCAAATCATGCAGTACATCTTCTTGTTTATTCACTAGGTAAGTGCAAGCATTAGAAATCATATTTCTGGTCTATTATCCCAATAATATTCTAATAATTACTTAAAGTGCCCGGTTTCAATGAAACCACTTGTTAAAGCATTCACACACCAGAATTATCCACAGAAGGGGAAAAAATGAAGCAAACTTAAAATGTTCAAATCCTATATACTGTTTCTGGAAATATTTTTGCTGACTGGTCAAGAAAAGCTCTTCAGGCTGTCTTTAGCCACAAGCCATGTTGGTAAGACAGGAAGGTGCTCCGGTAACAAAATCACATCATTGTTCTAAAGTATTGCCAGCAAAAATCCCCCAGCTAGAAAAATGCTAAGGCCATTCCTTAATTATAAGCGATACACAGTTAATTGTACAATTCATGAAATCCAGTAAGCCTCATTCTTCAGTGTGTGACCTTGCAAAGATACACAAATACAGCCTTATGATTGGAAATCTATAGGCTAGTCTGAACTAATTTTAAAATTCAAAGATTAGAGGCTGACAGGCTATGTTATCAACAAAGTTCATTTACCACCTGGATATTTTAGAAATATGATTTCCAAAAAATAATTACAACTGCAATTGCTGAGTTGCTATTTGCATCTTCCTCCCACTTGATTATGTTCTTCATAAATTCCACTTTATTTTCTTTTAATAGACAAAAATGTGCAATTTAGCCAACTGCTTGCCAACATTTTGAGAAGCAGCAGCTGCCCCTGACATTCTGTTTTGCTGATATCCTGCACTGAGGGAGTCACTTGGGGTCAGCCTGAGGAAAAGCTAGTTTATGCTGTATGTGGGATTTTTCTGGGCTGTGGGATGAAGGCTGGGGTTGCAGCAAAGTTCTACAGCTGAAGGAGGACAAAACAAAAGAAGTTTTGCTATTTTTACTTTAAAAGATAATGCACCCAATTGTTTTCCCCAAAAGAATGTTTGCTTCCCCCAAGAACCACCAGTTCATTGCTCCCAAAGCAGCATCTTTTTGAGACCTTATTTAGGACATCTGCATAGATGGATATAAGGTCAGTAAACACATGGCAGCAGTGAATGGAAAATGTTCAGAAACTGCATTTAACTCATAATAAACATCTCCCTTATGTGCTTGGTATTACCCTCCGAAGGTTTTCACAGTCTGTTTGGTGGTGGAGGCAACAGTCTACTACCACCTTATATATAAAACATGCACTATTTACTGGGGACCTTCTAGACCAACAGATCCAGACCCTGTTATCACAGAGTCTGTTTTATAAACAAGCTCTACCTTACCATGACTTAGTGTGCCTAACCATCCATTAGCATTTTCACTTTCACACCTATAAAACAACAGTACTGGAATTTTTCTTTTCTGATAGTCCAAGATCTTTTATTTCTCGTGACATTTATTCACAGAAAATATATCCACTTGTTCTTGAGCTATTATCCTCTTTTAGTTTATTGACTCGTACCCTTGTTGGTTGTTACGCTAGTCTCCTCTAGGATAACCAGTGCTCAATTCTCAATAGCTTACTGACTCAGTTGTGTTCTTACTGTTCCTTTTCTGGTCATTTTGTTACTAGACTGAAAAAAACAGCTAACTTTCTTTGGTAAGTACTTATAAGCAGATTATAAAGTCAGATTTCCTATTTCCATGAAAATTCTGTTAACACTTCATGTATCAACTTGTTCTGGTGTAAGTACACACTGAGTTAGATAAAATGTTTACAGCCCCATTCATGGTGTGGTCTGCCTCAGCTTAGCACTTTAAGTGGTATTTAACACATCAGGAAAGGCCTCCAGTTGACTGCATTCACAGGGAATGTCTTTGCAACATGGAGGCTCCTCATAATTTGGACCTAACTGTGTATCTTTTGCCTGGGATGATCTTTGCTTTGTAGGGGTCTACCATCTGACTTGCACTGCATAGTACCAACAATACAGATTGTTCAGATAGAAGAAAAAAAAAAGCAGGATCTGGTAAAAAATTATTTACTCTTTGTATTTGCCAGAGGCAAAATGAATCCTCATTGTCTTTCTCCAGGACAGGATGTTACAAATTCAGGCAGGCCTGAACTATGATTCAGGACTCTGCAAGTTGCATTTGGCTATTAGGCTGCACCTTTGGCAATTCTAATGCTGGACACAAAGGAAAGCATTGAAATTCTGTCCACCAGGAGGTTGATAAAACATCTGTGCAAGGGGCAAGCCAGAATTCTTGCTGGGATCTGTTCTAGAAACATAAGAAATGGTAAATACGATGCACAGTTTCACATTACAAGTGTATTAACTGGGAAAAAAATGTATTTCTCACTGAAAGGAACACTTAAGATCAGCGTGTAGGAGAGCTTACATGTGGTGCTTGGACAGGAGTTGACTGCCGTTGTGCAAAAGCACTGAAACAGGGCTTGTAGCAAAATTTATTTCTATGCATGTTGTTTACCTGCAGATGGTCATTGCTGGTGAACTGGATCAGCTATTCAGCGTCCCAGGTGAAGGAAAAGGATACACCTGGTAGTTTGAAGCTTAATTGTGAACAAACTACAGCACTTTGTGACCTGGCTATGTCTATCAAGCATCTGACCTGGGAGGAATACCACATTAGCAATGCATGTTTAAAAGCAGGAGAGCTTCAGTGCTTTCCTAAGACACGCAGTGTCCTCTATTGCAAGAAGAAATGGGACCTGTAGGCGGGCAAATGCAGACTGAATACAACATGTGTATGAGAAAATGACTCAGCTTCCAGGTGTTCCTAAGAACTTCCACTTCATAATCATCAAGCTGTCCGGCCTACTACATATTCCAGCTATCACATACACAATGGCATTGAAGCATGACGGAAAATTCTGGTCGATTGCCAGACAGTAAGTACAAGTAATGAATGACTTCCTGTTTCAATTGCTGTCTCGACTCCTGAAACAAGCATCATTTCTCAGAGATCCTACAAATGAATCAATTAAAATTTCTCCTGAAACTGTTGGTGGGAGGCAGAACCTCCTGCTCTTTCTTCCTACTCAGGATGCACTTAGAGGTTTGAATAAAATGCACAGAAACCACCCCCAAATAATTGTGAGATCTCATTGTAAAAATTACAAAACATTTGCAAAACAGAAGTGAATAGGTAATATTATCAAGGATTGTCCACCTTCAGTAGTGTACCACTTTTTTACTACACACGCATACACAAATATAAAGACTTTCCAGTAACTTTGCTGACCTAGTTCTTCATGCTTATGCAGTGTAGGAATATGTCTTGGCACATAATAGCCTACAATCTTTTTAGTGGAAACCAGAGACCACAATTTCTAGCCCCAACTATTTAACTCAGCAAAATGACACACTGTAAAAATAAAATTGTTTGAAAAAAAAAGGCTTGTGGTCTTAAGTCATCTCCACTGTATTAACCACTGTTATAAGTGCAAGACAAGTATGTAAAACAAGGAGAAGTCTCATATTCATCAACAGACTGTAATTTTAAATTTGAGACTGTATGTGTATCATTATCTTACTGGTGTCCCACGATCTCCTGGCTTCCCTGGTTTTCCACTTGGGCCAGCAACTCCTGGAACTCCTGGAGCACCCTACAGCAGAAGACATTTAAAGTCAATTGTGGAAATCCACAACAGCCTAAGTGCTAATATGAAAGGTGTTATTGTATTGAGTGCAAAGCAATACTGAAAACAGCTACTATCAGGGGTTTGGGGTTTTTTTTCTGTTAGGTACATATCAGGCTTGAAAACTTTCCTCCTGAAAAAACAGTTTGTTTCTCCATGGAAATCTGTTTCACATAACACCACAGTTCAACAGGTACTTCTGAATCTAAAGATGCAAAGGGTGTCTTCATGTTTCTTGTGTCACTCATAATGACAGATTCATAAAGGAATACAAGACAATTTGGCTTTCTAACATCATCACTTCAATGATCCATGTAAAAGTCCACAAGAAGTCCATAAAAGTCATCCTAGTGATACTAGATAAATATGAACACACAAAAGACCAGTGTTAGGTTATGTGATAAAACCTCATGTGCACGCCCACAAATGAGCACCAGAAAGACAATCATGGGGAGGAGCTGGAGCATCCCAAATAAGAATCTGCCCTAGCAACTCCTGTCTGTATAAATATACATAGTGTAAACGTGTGCTCTGTGTATGTGTGCCTACTGCGAATACATCTTCCCCTTGCTGTTCGTTGGACCTGGTAATGGGGAGCTGCAGCAACTTCCCTACCTCAGGCTGTCTGATCCAGCATAATATGTTTTTCTCTAACAACCAGCACCTTTTCTAACATGCTCCGATAAAACACAATGAAGTAGCTTTTCAAGAAAAAACTAACCCTTAAATACTCTTGGCAAGAAAAGCTTGTGTTAACCGGATTTTTTTTTCACCAGACTACAAGTAATAAGCTGACTGGTTTCAGTAGACCTAACTAGACATTTAAAGATCATAGCTAAAGAAACAGGTAAATTGGTTCTTTTCTTATTTACAGTGGCAGAAAACAGTTTGAAAACCACTTTTATGAATGTTTGTGAATAAATGCTTTACACAGCTGTCTACAAACCTTTTACCGAGCATTTCCCAGATCCATTTAGGATATTAAGCAAAGGATCCATTTCATATTGGACAGAAACTGAAAATGTCAATGTGGCTCTCTCTTGGCTCAGCTGTCTTATTTCAGAGTATATCAAAGACAAAATTATATTTACCGCTGGTCCTGGTGGGCCTCTGGGACCTGTGGGACCATCTTTTCCTGTGAAACCCTATTCAAAAACAAAAGCATGATTAGAGGTTAATTTAAGTTTGTAGCCTGAATAAATGGCCTTAGGTTATGTAATTGCAATGTATTACTACTAACACATGTTTTAAAAACTATCCACGATGTAGCTTATAAAAATAACTATCACAACTAATGCTGGGGAAAGCCATGGAACAGTGAGCTTCAGTCAGTTTAGATGTTTATCTGCAGTTGATTAACTGAAGATGGAATGAGTCTCAATATTTTTAAGAAAAGGAATCGTTGTTCTATCCCAGAGGAGCAAGATCTCCCTTTTTGCTGTTCTTTCACTCACAGATTAGCTGGAAAATCTGAGGTTCCTACTTAAATGACACCCTCTCTTTCAGATACTTCCCCTGCAAGAAGACATGCAGAGAAATCCATCTCAGTAATGTAACATGGCATTCACAAATCAGCACTGATGGCCCATTGCCTGCTAATGACCAACCAGTCCAATGGTATGTTCTTTGTCAACTGGCTATTACATGGTGATCTGTTTTCATTTCTATCAACATCCACTAAGGGATAACTATAAATCCATATATCAGCTATTGATTTTGACTGTAAAGGTAAGTCATTGCTTCAGTCATCTCGAAGGTGACATTCCACTGTGAAAACAAAAGAGATTTTCTTAACTGATGCCAAATTAGAAGAAAGGGATTGAAACAACTCCACAATTAAATACCTGTATGCGTGACCTTCATTATGAAGACATTTCAGAATCCCCCATTCAAAGAAAAGTTCTGAGTTCCAGAAAGTCAAAGGTTAAGGAGCAAACTTGATCTTGACAGTAAAAATTGGCACAGACAGATTCTTTATGGACATGACATCTCCCAGACAGTGAGAAAGAGTTTCAATGGGATCTCCTGCAGCAGCAGCCGAGCCCTGCTCAGTGGACATACTGCTCCATGGGTGCAGGCATCTGAGAAACTATTCAGGAGAGGGATCAATGCAATTTTTACAGAACCTATCTGTCTATCTGGCAAGGTTTTCACCCCTAGGTTTTTACAGCCCTTCCACTTTTACCTCTCCAGGTCGGATACTGGTAAAAAGCCTCCTTTTGAAAAATCATTTGAAAATAGAAAGAAATTATAAAGAAGGATTAGGAAAAAAAAAAAAAAAGGAAATAAAACCACATTACTCAGTCTTTTCAGAAGATAAACTGAGGAAACCTTACCCTTTCTCCTGGAGGCCCCATTGGGCCAGGTGGACCAGGTAAGCCTGGGGTTCCCTACAAGGAAAAGGAATGATAAACTGTATCCATGACAGAACAAATTTGCACAAAAATGCACGCATTTAAACATTTAACTGTCTTACATGTTGCTTTCTAGCATTTACAAAAGTTAAAAAAAAAAACATCTTTAGGAGAAAACATTTGTTTCATATACATGATGCAAGGTTCTTCACTCTCGCTCTATTTTTTTAACTTCCATTTACTTACCAGACAATAATTCAACTTCAAAAATAAATGTCAGTACTGTTCCCATAAAACAGATATATCTGGTTAATTGACTTTACAAGCATGACTTACAGATGTCACCTAATCCTTTAACACCTGGTGCTAAAGCCTAGCTGCAGTCATCAATCAGAGTATCTAAAGAAACAAAAATTAGACTCTTCCTTTATTATTCTTTTCCCTCTATTGTCCTATTTTTTTAACATTCTGCTGCTTTATTGTGCACATTCTAAACTCTCTTTTTCTGTTCCTTGTAGCTTCTGGATAGAGAGAAAACCCAAAAAGTAAATAGGCAGGCTACATTAGAGGACACTCAGGAATAATTTCATTTAACCCTCTGTAGGATCAGTATCACTGCTGTAGGAACTGGATACTGAACAGACTTGCACCATGTTGTCATGTTCTTCCCTCCTTTCTTACTAATCTGACCATACACTAAAATGTAGCACTGCTTTCTACAGGATATTACTACTCCCTAAATGTATACTACTCAGTGTTTTAAGGACTAATAAAACAGGTAAAGAATACAAGGCCCTTGGCCCATGACTGACCTCATCTGATATATGAAACCAAATCCACACCACCATTTAAGCATCCCCCATATTGTCTTTAGACGCCCAGAAAAATCAAGGACAATATAGTAACCAAAGAATATTAGTTATGTCACCACATGTGCAGATCAATGATCTTAGATTATCTGGCCAATTATCCAAAAAAAAGCCTTACCTTTTTCTCCTAAAAATCTAATCCTAGTTTACAATATAGAAACCTAAAAGGGAAATTTAGCATTGCTTTCTTCTTTCAGAAATCATACAATTAATGTCCCCAAACCATCTGACTTCCAAAAATAGAAAGCAATTGGACAACATGTTCAGCAGAAGTTCTGCATCCTTTTTTTAGGAAGTCCTTTAACCAACTGCAGGTGGTCAGAAGTTGATGAGCCCTCCTGGGGAGTTATCAGTGTGCTTTTCCTAACCCAATGGTCTGTCCCTGAGCATTCACAACTGTCCAGATGGACATTTGGCTTGACACAGTATAGCTGTTCTTTCACCCTTGCTGTTTTGAATGATTTACTATTTCCTACATTTCAAATTCCTATGTGTAAGATAGTTATGTTTCTAAAACTATTTCTTAGGAAGATATAAGAGGCCTTGACTCCTAGTGATGTCAAAGAGCCAGTCTGACATTCTCTTGTCTAAACACCGACTTACCGATCGCCCTGGTAATCCAGGCTGGCCAGCATCACCTTTCATTCCTTGACGACCCTATAATTTTCACAAATGATTGGTTTAGATTCTAACTTACAGAGTAGAACAGCAAAATAACAAGTTTGTGTAGATGGACACAAAATATTTCCTACAAAATACCTAAATTAAGGAATCCATGTGCCAACTATGTATTACGCAATAAACCAAGATACATATACCTCTTAATTGAAGCAACACTGATCACCTCACAATCATTTGCAAATGCAGGATAACTGGTTGTCATTGTATCAAAAACACAGGTGTGCAGACATTTGAAGGGGGCACATATTTTGATAAGGAAGTGACATGGATTTGTCAGGAAGAGAGACTGATACCAATGTCTTCACAAGCAGGAAAGCAGGGAAGGGTTACATGTTTTCTCCCAACCTCCCTTATCTTTCTCAAGTGGTGAATGGACCCATCTACACCCATGAAAGGTAAAAGCTTGGTCTTTTTAAAGTATCACTGGTTTTCTCTAACCCATAGTCTAAAAGGTATTACACACTTCCAGGAGACAAGGTGTAGGAACACATAAAGAAGCAATGCATTGCCTTTCACAACTAGCTTGCATTCCACATGCACTACAGCACTGTACTATAAATGCACAGTCTAAAGCCTCGTGAGCTAAATTTGACAATAAAATATTTATTTTCCACAGTGTCTTGTGTGGTATTTCAGCATTAATAACTGTTGATGACACAATAACAATCAAACAATTTGTAAACTTAGCATGCCAACGTGAATTTAAATTGATATGAAAAATGAAACTACAACTCAAAAATGGCACTTTAACTTATTAGCTAATGAGGAGTTCCACCAATGTTGGTGTTTTCGTTCTTTAGAGGTTTTCAAACTGAATGTGACAAACAAATGTATTTATTGTATTCCACATGTAAAAGGAATGTGTTTGGTCTTTCTTGTTGTTTGGCACCTCTAGTTCATCTTGATGAAGCTTTTCCTCATGATGTATAACAAAAAACTGAAAAGCATCTACACTAGTTAACATAATCTTTCTACTTTGTCCTTACAAAACAGAAGGTGTACCTAACGTCTACCCTAAAGCACATTTTGGTTTCCATTTCCCAAATTACATTACAGACTGAAAAAGTAACCTGGTTTCAAATGCAAAATGAGAGAGCGTGCAATCAGACACATACTTTTTTTTACATAAACTTTATATTTTAATCAAAAGTATTTACACAAAAAGCTGCTGGCTATATTAAAATTCAAGCTAATCCTAAACAGGAAACATCAAAATTATTGTTCTGCCTTTGGGATGATTACTTATTAAAATACGACAAAAGCAGTCTTGACATGTCCAGAATGTAAACAAAGGGTTACTATCTCCTATAAGAAACAGAATCTGCTGAAACTTCATCAGTTTTAACAGAATTACTCTGGCTTTGAAGGAATGTGCATGAAATCATTAGTAGTCTCACTAAAATGTGCATGCTGCTGCCAAGAAAGCCCCCTAGGAAGGAAGGGCTGCTTTGTATGCCTACATCTGGGCACCCATTGCCTCTCTGAACTTTCAGCTACTGATTCAAGCTCATAAAATAGTAAATCTGTAAGAAAGTCTTCAGAGTAATACTGCATGCTTAATTTTCCTGCACCACAGTTTGATAATTTGAGTCCTAGAACTTGAAGGACTAGCAAGCTGGAAGAGTAAAAACGGAGTAGTACAATGTATATTGCAGCACTTGGACTCTGTCCCCTCACAGGCATCCCATAAGCACACGCAACATTCAGGATAGAAAATGCTATTGTACTGAAAGAGACTTGTTTCATAATACTACTGTGTTGCAAGGGAAAATTAATGTTAGGACAAATCTGCCACCCTCTTCCCAAGACCACCATCCCCATTGACAGCTCTGGCTCCACACACACTCAGAATTGGCCACTCACCGGTTCACCTGGGATTGACAGCCCGTTGGGGCCCTGTGGACCAGGGGGACCTTGAGGGCCAGCAGGACCTGTCTCACCACGAGGACCAGGTGGCCCCTTAGAGCAGAAAATTAAAACAAGATTGTAAATGACAGCATCTTCTTAGATCTGTAACTGCAAAAATCCTTTGGGTTAGACAAAGTAAGTCAGAAGCCTGCAGACACACTTGATACTTCCAAACCACTGTGGAAACAGTTATCTAAGTGGCATATCATTTCATAAGCTACTCTCTGATTCTTGTTGGCGGTCTCAGGTCAATACATGCCTTCTGGCAGTGTTACTTAGAAGAATAGCTGTGTCCTCTGTGCAGAGAGAAGGACAAGAGTGCTGCAGAGTGTGTATTAACACCCTGATGCATTTAACTTTTGAGGCTACATATATACATAGGCGGTGTGTATATAGTCTCAAATAGGTAGGCTGCACATAAATAACGTACAGGCATATTTCCAAGTAAATTTTTCATCTCCATTCTTAGCTCAGCATAGAACTAAGCATACAAATTTTCGTACAGGTACGACATTATAGATGCGTTCCAGAAAGATACTTACAGATGATCCAGTCAAACCCCTTTCACCTCTGGGACCTTTAGCGCCTGGGCCACCCTAAATTGAATATTTGGAAAGAAAATGTATTTCATACAAGGGTACATCATACCATGTGCGTTATGAATGCTCTTTATCAAATTCTTATGTGAAAGCCCAAAGTTTTGAAATGTATAGTTCTCACTGCTAAAAAGAGTACTAGAATAAAAGATGCATCAGAAAATGAGGTAAAACACATCAGCTTCAACCTTGCCAATTCAGCCCATGTCATTTCTCTCTGCAAATATAAACAACTTCAATTTATATTCACCAAAATCTCTGGATATCTCTCTAGTGGACTCTCAGACAACTTAACTATGCTTCGGATTCCTCATGCAGAATTTTTGATAGCTTCAAAGTAGCAGGACTGCGTGTAACTCCCTTATATTCAAGGCAATTGGTAGAAGCATATCCATTCCATAGATTACTATCTCTCCAAATAAAAAAAAGCAAGCAAGTAATTTATTTCCCTGACAGAGTAAAGAAACTTTCCTTGGAGTGAAATCCTGACTCTATTTAGGAAAAATATTTGCACAGTCCATTAAAAATATCTCGTACATGAAGTGCGAGACAGCTGAGATTGGGCCAGATTCTTTCAACCTAACAATGAGGAGTTATTCACAGTAATCACATTAGAAATATGAGGAAAAAATTATTATATAAACAAATAGACGTGGTGGGAGCTGTGTTTTAAACTAAAATGGGAACAGATCACCATGATATTATGGAGGTGCTGATAGAAACTCTCTCTCTGACTGACCTTTGTTTCACAAAACCACAGATCAACACAAACGTGCTTCTGTAAATTTAAAAACCAGAAAAAATGTCTGTTGCGAATAGTTCCTTACAGCTGGTCCAGGGGGTCCTGGAGGTCCCACGCTGTCTTGAGTACAGGTACACGCATTTGGAAGAGCTGGGCATTTTGCTTCATCTCTCTGAAAATTCAATCACAACCATTACTGTCCTTTTAAAGAAAAGTACTTGGTGGCAGCATACTTTTCTAAAGCAACAACAGCAAGATTCTCTATTATCCCATTTTCAAGCACAAGTAGAACTCACAGCTAAACAGTGGTTTCCAAATGTTTCTACAGGACCTTTCATATTTTTAGCAAATTTTCTCTTCAGGCTATACATCACACTAACAACAGAGGCACAGGGAAAATCAAATTTGTATGCAATTTCCATTCTAACATTTATAGCCATTAGAAAATCAGCTAATTGTCTAATGTAAATGACACTGACAAAGAATAAACTAGTTACTAGTTACTAAACTAGCACTGACAAAGAATAAACTAGTTAATTTTTACATGTCAATCTAAGAACAGATTAAGTTAAAAAAATAATATAACTATTCTATTCATAATACCTAAGATCATAAGTATCACTGAAATATAAAATATAACTGATTTTTTTTCCAGCATTCCTAAGGGACTTAAGGGACTTTTGACAACATTACAATCTCTCTCCCTCAGACACAAAACTCTGAAATGCAGTGTTGTTCACTGGCTCCTCTGACAGCTGTGGTTTAGATATGCTGTCAGTAAGAGGTATAATACCAGGCTAATATTGAGATTGTTAAATTTGCTATTAATAATGATTTTCTGAATAGCCTCTGGTTAATTTACACTTACCATAGATGGAAGATCACAGCATCTGTCTCTGCTAGTCCAAACTGGACTGCATACAATGTCAAAATTCTGGATTTCTAGCTGTAAAAGAAAAGAGGACTCATGAAAGATACTAGATACATGTTGCTTATGACATCCAGCGTCATTATCATTAAATAAGACTCCTCAAACATTTATTTCCTAATTTCATTAACACCATTCAGACTTTCACTTCTTTTTTTGACATTGACAGAAAAATTATTTAAAAATAATAAAAAATTTAAGACCAGGCCTACATAAGGCTATCAAAACCAAACTTCTCAGTTAAGCATATTGGGTCTTGCAGTACAGACACTCAAAATCTTTGGATGCAATACTGGTTTCTCAGCAATTCTTAATCTCTCATCTCTTTCCTGTAAAAATTTCAAGGTTTTGCACTAATAAATGGATTATTGAGTTTTGCTTACTGTTGCTGATCTCCGGTCACCTTTCAGAAGTTTTCCAAGAATTTCATAACCATCGGTTGTGATGTTCCCAGCCTCTTTAATTGGTTTTTCCAGTATTTCATTGCAGTCAATGTAAATCTTAACATTTGATGAAGTTACAACAATATGGACCTGAAAAAAAGTTGAACATAATATTTAGAAAAGGCACATAGGCGTATTTAATTAAAGCTTCAATGGTATTTCACTGTTGTAAGTTTTCTTCGTAGTAATCCTGCTTTATTTTCAACTGGTGGAAAAATTCAAACTCGAGGAAAGTCTATGACATTTGTAACCAGTTTAAAATGTGTTGAAGGTCAATAAGATGAATACACAAGCACAGCTAAGATGTACTATTTAATGTAACAGTGGAACTACAACTATCTATTTTTCTTGCCTGAAAATTGGTTTAAGATGGCATAAAATTAAAAAAAATAAAAATCATTTTTGAGAGGAAGTGAATATAAGCTCTTCTTGTCCCCTCCTGATGGCTGGGACCACACAAGAGGTTTATGAGTCTGTGACTGCCCACTGGCTAATAGACTCTTTCTGTAGTTCAGAGAGTAGATTGTTTCAGATCCAAAGATCCGGAGTGCAGTTTCCACAGATGACTCAACCAGAGGCATTAGTTGCATTGATATACAGGAAGTGAGCAGAGAAGCCTGCCCAGAAAAAGACAAAATAATGGAAGATGCAAGAGAGAAGTTTCCATGAGAGAAATTTGGCTACAAAAACATATGCCAAAATAAGGGGAAATAGGGAAGAAGAGGAAGAAATTAATTATTGGAATTAAGGGAAATTTAGGAGGGAGAAAAGAATGACTGCAAAAAAAGGAAAGTGTACAAGGAGAAGATAATTAAGTGTTTGGGGAGAACATAGTAAACCTTAAACAGAAGAACAAACAAAATTGAATCAAAGGTTACCATTCCAAAAATTTACAGTACATATGACTAATGTTATGCAAGTCAATTTCCTATTTACCCGTGAAAAGAAAAGATATTCAGGAGTCTCCAAGAAAGAAACAAGGGTCTGACATTTTAGTAAATCTAGTATGCAATTGATAGAAGAACATTTTAAGGCAACAGAAAAGTTTCAGCATCCTTATATACCTTACACCATGCATATATTTTATATACAACATTGTAACATCTTTGTAATTGTTAAAATATCAACACAGTAAGATCAGCAGTAAAGAATCATTGAAATACATATTTAAGTTTTAAAGCTTCTGTTATCACAGTACATAACCCTTCAGAAACATAATGCTATTTGATGACTGCTTAAAAAATTGGCATAAAGTTGAAACAGAGATTCCCTTAAATGTCTTGAGTCAACAAGTGCCTGAACAATCTCTTGAGAATTTGTTCTTTCTTTCCATATTAAATATTTTCCCATGTGGAGTTGTCTCCAAGGCATTAGCATAGCTTATCTAAAACTCTTTAAACGTTATGTGCTTATGCTTTACATAATTGGAATTAAGGCATTTGAAACTACCCTCATTTTTTGTCATTTGAAATTCAGCTGGCATCACAGTTTATTTCCCAGTGCTATATATAAAAATGTTTTGTTGTTTGGGTTTTTTTTTAATTAACATTCCCAACATTGTTCATTGACCAAATTAAAAAGAAAATGGAAAGATAACTGAGTATGTCCAAAGTATATTTTGGTGTTACATACCAAACTTTCTACAAAATAAAATAAGCACCATGCCAAAACTTTAAATTAATTTTCATTTATACATCATATACTCATATGATTATATGATTGAATTTTACATGTTAAATAATACATCAAACAGTGTAAACTCATTGCAGATTGATAAACTTAATTCTGAAGGTATGTGCATCCTTCTAGTGGCCTGTTATGTATTTGTCAAAAATTAAATAAAGCAAATGACATCTACACAGCAAATGCATGTTGCTGCATTTTCATCTGCACACAAAACTTAGGAGAGCTGAATCTACATCAGAATGCTGACTGGGATCATCAATTTGAAAATGGTCAAAGAGCAGTGACTGCTGAACATCACGTATCTATCCAAAGAAGAAGTGACTCCAGCAGTCAAAAATGAGCAGGGCTCCCCCAGGTCATTGACTCAGTTCACTGTTGACTTAATGTCACTCTGAATTTCAGCCTGAATCCCATGGCCCAAGCTAAAGTCCAATAAAAGTATGCATCTAGTGTTTACAGTAAATAACACATGTCTGTATTCAACCCTGTTACATTTTGTTTTCAACAGATGTTAACAGAAACATTCTCTTCAATTTCTAATACACCAACATAAAGCATCACTCTGACCATTTCCAGTGCCAGAAGGCACTGAGGTTTTAAGAAAGAAAACATACTTTAATCTTTCTCTCTGAACCCTTTCTAGGATAAAGTTTAATGGTGTTCTGATCTACTGCTAAATGAACCACATCAATAAGCTAAGCAAATTATTATTCCAAGTGTACATCAGCAGAAACTCATACACTCATTATCAAATTTCCTGTGGCTAACTACTGCAAAAATGCAATCTAAAAGGAAGTCTAGCATGGTAAGAATAAGAAAGTAGAAGTTGTCTGTCCCTCCAAAACACTCGGTTATAAATTTAATGACTGTCTCAGGCAGTCAGGATTTTTCCTATGGGACTTGCCAGACTCAACAGCTTTCACCATAGCTATGCTACGCAAAGCGTTCAAGTATGCCAAAGTAAATTTCCTTGCACAGTTAGGTGTAGTTAACTGTGCTTCACTGAATGAGCCAGCAAGTCATCGAATGAAAACCACAAAAATGTTTGATATTTTGGAAAACATCTTCTCGCATTCTAAAGATTGGTCATTTCTTTGAAACTGGATAGCAAGAGAAATTGCAACAGTACCTTTTGAAAAGTGTTAGTTACTTTCCTTCCTTCATCTTGCTGAAACTACTGCTATCCTTCACTAGGAGCTGATCAACATGGCTGATTCTTAAGGCTTTCCCAGCACGTGAGCTGGGGAATCCCATGATGCTATCATTAACAACCTGACTCATATAGCAATCTCAGTAATCATCCTGGAAAGAATCCAGAGGAGTCAACTCAGTTAGATGGTGAAAATTCCCAAATGCAGCTCTTTAAACCAAGACTATTCCCAGTTACTTTAAATACTATCAAAAGTTGAACTTTCGTTTCCTTTATGGGAAAAAAAGAAGGGGAATGACACACTGCACTAAATAACTGAGAAATGGTTCGGTTTTGCTTAAGAAATAGTCTCATAAGCAAGACATCTTAGTTCCAGAGCTTTAAGACAATTTGTAAATGGCTGTTAGTGCTGCACATAGTTTGGCATCTTAGGATTTCTTTCTGTTCATATCTATGAATGTATTTAATTATTAAAATAATACAAAAGGCTGGATTTTATTTCCCTTGTAATTGTTTTTCACCAGCAAGAGTAACAAACAGTTTTATTTAACTACTAATGTTGCTTAGGTTGCAGGTCGTTATCTTTTTTCCCTGATAAATGAGCAGTAAGTGCTGTGAGATAATTCTCCTAATTTAGAGGATCAGCAAGGAAAAATATGACTCTGAATGTCAACTAAATTAACAGCAGACACTTAAAACAGACTGTTGGCAGTACAGCATGTAGAGAGCTTCACACCCCTGATCTGCAGAAGGCAAGTCTCAACTCTCACACTGATATATAAAATGAGGCATGCGACATGTCTGTGTTTTAACAGTACTTCTTGGTGATGACTCAACTTTTACACCAAAACAATATTGACCCTAGCCTTTACTGACAGTTTTTCTCACTCTAGTAGATTAACACATCTCCTTAAAATTCAGAAACTGATAGCTTTTATAATACTGCGTGATTATTGTAGTTACCCGTGTTTTAAACAGATAAAGTCACAAAATATAATGCTGGCACCAGCTAGCTTTCCCTGCTTTCAGCCTAGCAGAGCTAGGTTGACAATGTGGCCTCCAGTATCAGCAAGCTGACAGAGGCAACCTCTTATCTTTATCCTTAAAGGAATGCTGGTGGTGACTAGTGATGCAGGAGAGGGTATCACAAAGAAAACAAATGCTACACTCCAGCCATATTTAGTCATCAGAAGAAAACTAAACTAAACAGAAGGGAGATAAATGAAAATATGAGAATGTGCATTTCATCTGACAAAAAAAGTGATTGCAATTTCCCTAAACATATAGGCATAACACAGCAGGAAAATTTGTGGTTTAGACATGTACGTAGCCTGAGTCAAACTCTTCCCAATGACTAGAGGTAAGAAAGCCTTGCAGGATCAAGTTTTCAGAATTTGATGCATAAAACTGGAAAAACAAGCACAAAACTATCACAACTGAAGTCAGATGCAGTAACATGTAAGGTTTTCAGTAGCCATTTTGACAACTCAAAAAACATGAGTTTCATTCCAGATCGCAAATAGGTTATATGATATTTTATGGGCTCTCCATCATTATTGTTGCTTTCTCAGTTAATATTAGTTTGGAATACTTTGGAATATTTTAGGTCCAGTGAATTTAAGCCAAAAATATACCAGTACATATGCATACCTACAAAATGTATACATATACATGTATTTTGTTTGTTAAACATGTGAATGTTATTCAATATGCTATTCACCTCCCCAAATTGGATCCCTGCCTTTTTCCTATGTCAATAGCTACTTACTTTCGGTGGCTATATCTTCTTCTTTGAGTGATTCCAAATCACTACACTCCCCAGTCTTTCCTCATCACAACTTCCTTTCTTTTTTTTCACCCAATTTATCTTTTACTCTTCCTCTTTCATGTGCCAGGAATCAGGCTACGATGTCTTGTTCAGATACATCCCTCCACTTACCCAATCTTGACAAAAGTCTTGACAAGATCTTGACAAATCTCTTACACGAGTACAAAGTAGGCCTTTACCTCAATAAAAAAGAAGAGCTATAACCTGAGATCCTGTTTTATACGATCTGTAAGTCCCTATGCCAACTTACAGTACTATACAAAGACTGAATATAACTGACAGTGACTTCTGCTTGCTTGTCTTTTGTTTCAAAGAACATCACTTCAGAAAGCAACATTCATAATTTCAATCCTTTACCTTGTGGAAGCTTCCATAAAAGATTTTCTTTACTTCATCATTATCAAAAGTTACAGTTTGAACCTCTCCCCTTGTATCCTTGTTAAAGAATGACAGCACTTTGCTTGCAGCTGCAATAAATGAAAATAATATGTTTCATTTTATATGTACTACTGAAACCACCATCCTAAGATACACATGGATAAAATGTAGGATACCACTCAAATGGGTAAACATAGATTATAAACGGTCTTACTGACCCATAACTATGTAGATATATATTCCTTTGGTTTTAGAGGTAATACCAAAGTTGAAGTGTAACTAAATTGAATTAAACTGAAAAAACTAATTTATGTACAAAGTAAAAAAAAAAAAAAAAAAGCTTTTAAAACTAAAAATATAAAAACATGTAAGAATGCTTTGGTTTTGGAAATACTTGGAAAGAATGCATGCAAAGTAATGCACTACATAAATTCTCTGCACAATAAGCAAAATCATCCTTACGATCAAGCACAACTCCAACTTGTGGTTTGTAATCTCTGTCTGTAATCTGCCAAATTGCAAAAGGCTCGTTGGGGGATTCGGGCAGAAGACGGAATAACAGAATGATAGTGTATGCCTGTGGCAATCCCTCTGGGTGAATCTCCCTGTTAAGACAATATGAGGACATTTTTTCACATGGAAACACATGAGGAAAATAAGATCTTCATTTGCTCTTTTTCGAAGAAAAGAAGTGAGGGTAACAGGGAAACCACGGTGTTTAGTGGAACTGAGCATTTTAACTACTCTCTCAAAAAGAAAAGAAATTTATGATCAAAATCATCATGTGATTTGTTAATGTGAACTCACACCCCATCTTCAATTGGTCCAGGCACCATGGTTATGGAGGACGCCAGAATATGACCAAGAAATCTTGGAAATGTATTCCTGTGGCAAGATTCTGCATAAACTACACATATTTTAAATCCCTTGTTGATAAGAAAATACAACCACAGCTTTATTCTTTTTTATCTGGCCTTTTTTAGACAGGCAACAGAAAACAGCACTTGACTGCCACTGCTCTTCAGGCATAGATACACTGAAGGATGTGGTAGACGAAAAGCTGGACATGAG